TCTGCTTCTTCTTCTCTTCCTCTACTTTCTTAGGGTAGAGTTTCCAAGAATTACAACAATGCATTTATTTTTAATTTTTTTAGGGGGGAAAAGGGGGGGAGGGGGGGGGGGTTTAAAGATTTGGTGTGAAAGAGTTGAAAATTAACCGCTGATGTGCTTCTGTATAGTGAATTGATGGCATCCAGTCTTGTCAGAAACACAAATTCTTACCTGCAGAACACTGCAAGTTACACTAGGCCAGTGCAGCTATTATGGTTGCCCCAATTATAACTTCTTTAGAGTTAAGTGGGGTAAATGGGATTTGCCCTCCTGATCTGCCATCCAGATTGAGAATCTGTAAAGATGCGGTTTTATAGATGAATGATCATATACCCTGGACAGATCAAAAGAGTTATAAGGACGTCTTGAAAGAAACTGACTCCCAAAGAGAACTGATTATCCACATCATAACGAGACAATCTATCTACATTCTTTGGTCATGAGATGAGAAGGAGAAAATTGGAGTACATCGTAACAGTAGGAAAGCTCGAGAGGAGGAGAGACAGATAGAGACCGAGAGAAAAGATGTTGGACAGTGTGACATCATGTACAGGAGACAGAGGGTTGTGGATAGAAATGACTATCAAGGCCACACTGCATGAACTTTTAGAAGAAGAAGACATTTGTTTCAGTTTCTGAAAAAGCACAACTAAAATTCTAAGAAACAAACTGGCATGCAGGTTAAGGCATCATAACCCCTTCCACTGCTGTATTTTAGGATTCTTATCTTTAGAGGCAGACAAGTGGAAAACACTCTAGCAGTTTTGAGACACTGGTTTGAGAGTCTATGGGTGTGAGTCATGGGCAATGACAACAGCTCACAGAGGCCAGCTTCATGTTTCAGAAATGAGGTATCTGAGAAAGGTGGTCCATGTGACAAGAAGGGACAAAGTTCACAACCAGACAATACATCATGACCTTGAAACCCAGGTCTTACAAACTTGAGTGGATCAGTCACAGTTACAAAGTTTTGGACATCTGTGCAGAATGGGAGTGAATTGGCCACCACAACAGTCATGGAAGGCCAAGATGAGCCAGGGTTTGCTCAGAAGACAAAATCTGACAGTCCCTGACTGATAGGGGACTCAAATGGAAAAAATCAGAAAGAAAACTGCTGACAGAGAAGTCTCTAGCAAACCTATACACCCCAAGGTAGAAGAGGAACGATTAAGTTAAGTAAAGTAAAAGGCATGAGAGTCACACCATGGTAGAAACTGGGGCCTGACCACATAATATTCCCAAAGATAACAATGAATAAACTGGAGACGGCAAACAATTTTAGTTTTAAAACCAGTGGAAGCAACAATGTACAGCATTAGAAGATCAGCACTTGACAAGCCTTCAGCATAAGTTGTTGAGTCAAGAAATGATATTACACAGCACTCAGAAAATTCCCAAACATACTCCATCCTTATCTTCAACAGCCAGCAAAAAGTTCAAATTCTGACGCAGCAAAGCCTTTACTGTTGTATGAGTGTAAATCATTGGCAAACCAGTAAGAAAAAGTGAAACCACTAATGTAGAAGCATTTAGTGTTTACCAAAACCACTGACAATCTGGGAGATGTCTAATGACAGTGGAAATGTGGTTTCTGAGACAAATGCACTGTATTTACAAGCAGGAGGAGAAACATGAATGAGGCAAATGACAACTGTAAATTGATTCTTCTTCATTTTTCTTTGGTGTTCACCCTTATTGTTGTGTTGTGGTTTACACCTAGGTTGTGATATCTGTGCCTTTTAATTCAACAAAGTTTGAGAAAAATTGTTTAGAAAGGTGGAAACAGGCATGCTCCATGCAGAGTGGCAAGCATCAATTCAGAGGTTGTGGGTAGTTAGCGTCCTTTGGATATTTTCTCCAGCTGATGCAAGTGTGTTAGGAAACAAGCAGGCAGATAGACTGGCTAGTTGTTGTGAGGGCCCTTTGGGAGCACGTGAACAGTGTGGAGGCACAAATGGATTATTGTGGTCTGAGGAGAATGGCGCTGCCAGAAGTTACCAGGGGATCAACACTCAGGGAGGGAAGAGACAGATGTACAACCAGACAGTTACTGGTGCCATCGGAATTGGAACTCTTTGCTTGCTGCTGAAGATGGGTGATAGAGCGCTCATGGGAGTATCCACAGTACTGTGATGTTGATTCTTAATTCAACATTCATTATTAACCCAACAAATCTGATCTGAGAAACTAATTAGTCAGCTGCATGATAAGCTTGTTAAGGGGCAGTCTTATTCCGCCCCCCCCCCCCTCCCCAATGGCACTAGAACCCATATGGGGATAAAAACTTATTAAAGGAACTAGACACAGCAGTCAGCAGTTTTTGTTTATGTTATGAGGTAAGACAAATGAAAAACTATATAAGATGAGCACAAGAATACATGTGGGAAATAAATACCTGGACTGCTTGAATCTAGTGACAAGAAGAAAGCTTAACAATGTTCAATAAAACTCTAATATTGCTTTAAGGTCTAACTAAAGTTTTGTTTCTCTGCAAATAATAATTGTTATTGCTATTATTACTGCTGGACAATGAAAGCTCTTCTAGCCCCACTCCAAGAAAATTACTAGGCAGGGAAAGAGAGATCAAAGGGATTAAGCTTGTTTGATTGCACTAAAATAATATTTTATTATTATAATTTTTTGTGTGTGCTGTGAAAATGAAAATAATATACTTAAAATAACAGGAAATTTGGAACACCTAAGGTTAGTTTCTCCAGGCCCCGCCCATATACACACTAGCTCACTTCTGATTAGTAGTTCCTGAGCCCCATGGCCTTTGCACAAGGTAAGAGGGGTGTTTAGCGATGCCGTTGATATGGCGTGTTGTATAAAGCATGCCAGCACTTTTAACACTCCAAAAACATGGAGAAACTGGCCCTAACACAACCTCCCTAGAGAGTACTGCAACCTATGTCATAGACATTCTCTTTCTCAGAATGAAACTGTAAATGCAAGACAATGCAGAAAGCAAACAACAGAGGGGTACACATCCGTAACCTTCAGGAAAGCCGACCAGCCCAACAAACTTTGTGAATGAAAAGTGACCTACTCTATTTGGGGAGATTAATGTTACTTCAACCGGAAATTTATAAACAAATACTCAGAAAGAGAACATCCATATATGATAAGGGAGGGGGCTCTGCTCCCTAAAAGTTATTGGCTCGGGGAAGATGTCATGGAGGCTGAACCCCTAGGATCTAGAGTCTGTGACTGTTAGTAAGAGGATTGTTTATTATTACAAGTGTCTATATGGTAAAACAGTTATAACACCCAGCCATACTGGACTATTGGCTACTTCATGATTGTTCTGTGGTGTCCCAATATATGTGTGCTATACTGTTGAACAGGGTTTAGGGGATTTTTAGATGTCTGAATCATTTTCATCCTTGAGATGGTAATCAGCTCTATGGACTGCAATGCTGGAGAGGGAAACAACAACAAAAAGCTTGTTTCATTAAAAAGAAACTGCTTCAGGAAAATATTTAGAACATTATTTTTAAGAAAATTAAAATTATTATAGCAACAATATTACAGCGGTGGACGCTGGACTATTTCCGTTATTATTTTTAAGTTGAAAAAAAAAAAAAACTGACTGATTCAATATTCATTCCACAAAACTGGCTGATTCAATATTCATTCCACAAAACTGACTGATTCAATATTCATTCCACAAAACTGACTGATTCAATATTCATTCCACAAAACTGACTGATTCAATATTCATTCCACAAAACTGACTGATTCAATATTCATTCCACAAAACTGACTGATTCAATATTCATTCCACAAAACTGACTGATTCAATATTCATTCCACAAAAACTGACTGATTCAATATTCATTCCACAAAACTGACTGATTCAATATTCATTCCACAAAACTGACTGATTCAATATTCATTCCACAAAACTGACTGATTCAATATTCATTCCACAAAACTGACTGATTCAATATTCATTCCACAAAACTGACTGATTCAATATTCATTCCACAAAACTGACTGATTCAATATTCATTCCACAAAACTGACTGATTCAATATTCATTCCACAAAACTGACTGATTCAATATTCATTCCACAAAACTGACTGATTCAATATTCATTCCACAAAACTGACTGATTCAATATTCATTCCACAAAACTGACTGATTCAATATTCATTCCACAAAACTGACTGATTCAATATTCATTCCACAAAACTGACTGATTCAATATTCATTCCACAAAACTGACTGATTCAATATTCATTCCACAAAACTGTCTGATTCAATATTCATTCCACAAAACTGACTGATTCAATATTCATTCCACAAAACTGTCTGATTCAATATTCATTCCACAAAACTGACTGATTCAATATTCATTCCACAAAACTGTCTGATTCAATATTCATTCCACAAAACTGACTGATTCAATATTCATTCCACAAAACTGTCTGATTCAATATTCATTCCACAAAACTGACTGATTCAATATTCATTCCACAAAACTGTCTGATTCAATATTCATTCCACAAAACTGACTGATTCAATATTCATTCCACAAAACTGACTGATTCAATATTCATTCCACAAAAACTGACTGATTCAATATTCATTCCACAAAACTGACTGATTCAATATTCATTCCACAAAACTGACTGATTCAATATTCATTCCACAAAACTGACTGATTCAATATTCATTCCACAAAACTGACTGATTCAATATTCATTCCACAAAACTGACTGATTCAATATTCATTCCACAAAACTGACTGATTCAATATTCATTCCACAAAACTGACTGATTCAATATTCATTCCACAAAACTGACTGATTCAATATTCATTCCACAAAACTGACTGATTCAATATTCATTCCACAAAACTGACTGATTCAATATTCATTCCACAAAACTGACTGATTCAATATTCATTTCACAAAACTGACCACAGAAAAAAAGACACGAATCAAACTCTCACCAGCTCTTCGTGCAGCTCTGCTAGTGTAGGCCGGGTTCTCAAGCCGCCCCCGGTAGCTGAAAAGATATTCCTGTAATGATCAACACATGGCAGGGCCTCTATAGTATTCATAGCACCATTTGTTTTATTGTATCCATCTGACCCTCTGCTACGAAGAGAGTCGCCACTGATTGAAAAGGTAGCACAGGGAGATTCTGGACCATTACCTACTGATTCACGCCCACCACTTGGGTTTATATTCGCATTCGCAATATTTGTATCCAGTTTACGTAGATCAGTTGATTGTTTCCCTGAACAAATTTTATTGTCGGGTTGGATATCAGATTTCACTTTTTCTGTAAAAACTTCTTGTAATTCCTCACTGTCCTGATCTGGGTCTGACTGGTCATCTTTATTAATGGTGTTAACCCTAGCAACCTGGAAACGCGATCCACTTTTCTTCAATTCCTCTCCTCCGAGATCCATTTTATGCCAGAAAACGAAATCTTGCAGTAATTAGAGAAAACTAATATTCATATAAAATCCTTAATCAACAGGCTGTTGTACTAGAAAGCGAGGCAACAACGAGTTTCCGAACACTCGTTACCGTCGGTCGACTCGCGGAGAAGCCGTTGGTTGTGAACGCCATTTATATTATTGATCCGACATAAGGCCAGGAGGCTCCAACATTTTAAGCCAACCAGGGAAAACGCACGCTGGTCTCCCGCGTCGTCTGCTACAACCAGGTACGCTAAGCATAAACTGACTTTTTAAACTTCTTTTTGTTTCTGCGCTCACATTTAAATGGGCAGTTGGTACGTTGTGTTGTTGTTTACAGCTAGGCTGCGATTTATGCATCTTTCGGTCTAATACTTATACATTCAACAAGCCCCTAATTAGTCGCATTTTACAACATGCGTGCTCTGGAGATTAGTCGCCTTGCCTCTTACGACATGCTTGTTATGGAGGCAGTGAAAATCAGTGCAGTTAAAGATGTCCTGGCGCCTCGGGTAAATGAACTGCATGACACCCTATTTCGCTGACTGACTGCCTGACTTTCTACCCCACCAGGACATCATACAAGCGATAAACCCCCGATGACACAATATGCCACCATGTGGGTGAGGATCACCGTGGAAAGGTCCCAGAAACCGCCTTCAGCCTTTAGGCCATATTTATGGCCAGGTTTTATTGCGGCCCCTGGTAAAAGCCAGAGTAGGGCTTAAAAAAACGAACAATTTCATCATAAAAAGGACGAGTAACATATACACTTAACCCTATTTTGCTCAATTTTATCAATATCATATAATATTATCTTTTGTTTCTTATATCAGCTCTCAAAGGGATGTTTTTCGCAGTTAATAATTTGAGATCGATATTTAGGACCTGTATTCTCAAGAGTGCCTACATATTCGTAAGTTTACTATCAGTAATCATACCCTCGTTTGTGAAGAAAAAATCCTTACATAGATCTATATGGTTCATAGTTCCAGCGACAGGGTGCGCACAAAGCAACAACAACAAAAGCAGTTGCAAATAAAGCAGAGATGGCAGTGTCGCAAACGCAGTACGGGTGTTGTTTTATTAACCTTTTAACACAAAGTCAGACCAGAAGAATGGATTTGTTTGTTAAACTGAACTGAATTTCTACCCCACCAGGACATCACACAAGCGATAAACAGCCGATGACACAAAGTGCCACCATGTGGATGAGGATCGCCGTGGAGAGGTCCCAGAAACCGCGTTCAGACATTTGGCCATATATGGCCTGCCTATATTGCGGCCCCTGGCAAAAGCCAGAGTAGGGCTTCAAATGACAAAAAATTTCGCCCTAAGAAGGACGAAGTTAGAATAACAATTTGTTTGTTTTTGTTTTGTTGTTGTTGCTGTTGAGTGAATGGATCCAGCTTGAACTGTTACAACGTTGCAGAACCTATCAATTTTTAGATGTTGTGGGTTTCCTAGACAACTGTTACATTCATTAGTTTGCCATTGCTTTCTAAACAGTCGACTTTCGATAGCACTGCCGAAACTAATTCAAGGTAAAAAGTTTCCGGCAGCTGGAATCGAGCCCGGCACGCCCGCATTGCAAAGCCCGAGCCACAGACGCCGACGGGCTATTATAAATAAATAAATGAATTCCCCGTGTGGGTTCTGTGGTCTCATGGTGGGGAAAACAAGAATAAATCCACTGCCTCCCCACAAGCATATCGTAAGAGTAGACTAATTGGGGGCTTCCTTCCAAGTCGGAGTGTATCTGTCTGAGACGCAACGAACCAGCAGTTTGCATACAAATAAGCGAGACTGGTAAAATGGATGTACAAAAATCAGGCCCTGGAACAAGGCCAAAGTCCAGAAATGGACGAACAACCAGGTCTTTCTGCCGGAGTTTACAGGTGGTGAACGCAAACAACAACAATGAATGAATGAAAAACTGACATTACTGCACTCGGGATATATAAGTGCTCGGTCCACTATGCTATCAATGCCAAACGTGGACACTTACATCCTCCAATGAACG